TCACCTTACAAAATGTAAGGGAACCAGAAAAACTCCCTATCAAAGAAGACAGGGAACTCTCAGCATCACTACGCCCCCAAAAACGGAGGCGGAGGAAGTAAAGCCGAGGGACGATGGCCCACAGCCAAGAGCGTGGGAAAGTTCTGGGCGAGTAACTCGCCTGGACAGCCACACCATGTACTAGAAATCACATGGGCTAGGCGAGTAACCCACCTAGACCACGTGAACTACAGGCTCACATGCAAAAGAACACACATCTGCGGCGAATCCCACGCATGCAAGAACGAAAACCCCTCCCACCACCATGAGTAACATAACGACGAAATGTCGTTCTCTGGGGGAGGCAACCCTCGGTTCGATCCAAACAAACCACCGGATATTGAAATACGACAACCCGGGGAGCAAGGCTCCCCAGAACAACAACAACACCAGGCGCAGATAAGTGCCATGGATTACACGACGCACGCAGCACAAATGAGTGCTGCGAACCAACAACCATCCGCATTGCTAACAGGCACCGCATACCCCCAGCCTCCCCAAAGAGGCTTCCAACCATACGCAGTGCAAACCGCACCGATGGCGCAACAAGCGCCATTCCAGGGGCAGCATTTGCTGCTGCAGCCCCAGGCATACTCCCCAGGGAACTTCCCTGGCCAGATCAACCCCTGGATTAGCCAATTCGGCCCAGGTCCAACAACACCCCAGCCAAATGCAGGCTGGGAATCAGCTATCGTGTCAGCAGTAGCTGCTCAGACAGGTCAGCTCCGTGAGGAGCTGAAAGAGATGAAGTCCCTTGTAGGAGGGAGATGAGGGAGCGACAGCGGCTCCTTGTCCAGACTGTCCAAACGGGCACGGTCTGATAACTTGAGGGCGTCAGAAGACGCCTGCGACCATTGCGCCCACTGGAGGCATGAATACAACAGAGCACGAAGAGATGCTGAGGGCATCTTTGACTCTCTGAAAGACACAGAGAGAGAAGTCGATCTCCAAAAAAGGGAGATCGAATTACTGAAATGCGAGCTCAGAGAGGCACGTGCACTGGCAGACCTCGCTGCCAAACCCATCATGACAGGGGCCTCCCAGGTCAGGGGGAGGGGATACGGTGCCGGGGCACCGACTATCCCGCCACCCCGTGGGCAGGCGACCCTGTCCAGGTTGCATAAGGGCCTGCCCTCAGAGGGGCAAACCCATGTCGAGGGGAAGAGGGAGAGCGGTAGGCAACCGACGGCAGACCCTAAAACGGGGACCACTGCCAGAGGCAGCGGGCCGCTGAGTACCTCAGCACCCTATGGGCAAGCTACCCTGCAGGGAAGTGTCCACATGCTATACAAGACCACCGAACTCAACGAGTTCGGCAAAGTCGAAGCTCCAGTCGACATAACAATCGACCCCAACTTCCCCATGAGGAGAATAACGGGGTCAGAAGCGGCGCATGACGCCGCATACGCTTGGTGGACAAGCGTGAGTGGGAAAGAATTCGTACACTGGTACGAACAGGCCGAAGCCGCCTTCAAAAGCGGCAAGGTACACAGAACCCTTTGCGAAAAAGTGAAGGAAACCGAGAAATACTTCTTGGGACTCCCAAGTATCGCAAGACTCGTGGAGGAATATAATTCCCCAGAGAATAAGGGGGGGTCTCCTGGGAAAGTCTAGGCAAAGCTGCCTACTTAAAGTCCCAGTTCAAACCACTCAGGACTCCTGAGGAACATGCCGCAAGAACTGCGGAACGGGAAGTGAAAGCTTCCAAATACCGGGAAAGAGATGCAAGTCTCCGTGCTGGACAACCAGCCCAACGACCACCCTTCCCCACGGGAAGAACGGTAGACCTACCGTACTCTACACCTGAGCCAAGCAGCTCAGGAACACGACAACCCGCTCCCACCCAGGGAGCACCCACTTCGTCGAGCCCACAGCCCGACAATGTAGCCCAGGCTACGTCATCGCATCCGACGCAGCAATCGGATGTCCAGATGAACAACCTGGAGGAAAACCCTCCTCCGGGGCAATGAATCCACCCTTGAGAGAAGGGAAAGTGACACGGTAATATGCCACCGAGGCGCCCGTGAAAACACCTTCCCCCAACTCGAGGCCCTGCACACAATACTGTATGCGAGGAACCGCAAGTAACAATTGCGGAAATCTCCACTCCGTCAAAAGACCCACATCCACCACCGCTCGTGTGTAAACACCACTTACACATGAACCCTCACAGAACAAGTGAGGAACACCAAAGACATACAACCTTTGGGTCGAAATTCATTTTCGACAAACTCCACCATTTTCTCTCTTCTCTCCCTGCGATACCAATGTAGTACAAAATCGCCCACTTTAAAGTGGCGACAACAAAACACTCATTGATAATTCCAAACTCAATGTAAATCAACTATTAAAACTCTGTTTTATTTCACTATCAACTTTGTATGCGTCGCAAATGCAACGCAAGGGGGGAGAATGTCAGGGCAATAGCCCCGAACCCCGAGTCACATCACCTTGTGTGCTGAGCCACCCTAAGACCTCACAGTGGGAGTGGGTGGTGGAAGGTCTGGTGATGGAACACTCACTGGGCCATTGGGGTTTTGTCATAGAACATAGGAATGTCGAGGTAGACATAGGAATGGGATGGTTCTGAGGTTACAGGTCGGTTTACAGTGGTGGCACAATGGTGTGGAAGCTACAATTGTGGTACAAGGTTTTGTGGGCTATGTATTTGATAAGGAAAGACATTTTTCGGCATCTGCCTTACACATCATATGACTTCTAACCATCTAATATAAAGTCATAATGGTCAAGGGAAGTCCCTTGAAACTCAACAAATCCCCCAGCCAGCACCAAAACCCAGTGGGAAAGCTTGGCATGGGGTTTGATGGAGAAGTAAAATGGGGGGAGGCCCTGGGTCCACCTGCTTGCAACCACAGACCATAAGATTCTAGTCTATATCCATAACATTGCAGAAGGGCATATATATAAGTGAAACAGCTTATGTAATAATGAGGCAGGTATATAAACCCCCCAGACCCCTAGCTGATAAGGGGCAATCTTGTAATTTACACCTCTTCCTTTAGTGTAAATTGAGTCTTTCTGGTCTAGTGATCTGTTTAGTTCATGATCTCAAAGCTCATTTATTGGCCATAGCCGATTCAAGGTCCCTCACACTTGATGTCTCAGCACATGGCTCAAACTCTGTCCAATCTCTTTCTCACTGCCATTGATGATGATGCATGATCCCCAGAGGCCTTGGAGGCTTATTATTTTGAAGTTAGCACCCTGTATTTGTGCCGATCAGCAACCATCATGTTACTACATCCCCTGGCTTCATTTCCTCTGATCTCCTGCATGTTAGAACTGGGTGAGGGTAGACGATTCCAGAGGGGAACCAGAGACTTAGCAAGGAGGGACCTTGGCCTCAGCAACTCAAGGGGAGCACTGTGCCATTGCTGTTTGTCCATTTGGTCCTTAATTTCAAAAGCAGTGAGCAGGAAGTCTCTAGGGGGCATTTCTGGTCGATTTTAGACTGAGGGTCCAAAATGAGTATCGCAAGGGGGGAGAATGTCAGGGCAATAGCCCCAAACCCCGAGTCACATGTAAACTAGATACATATAGTCACGTGGGCAAGCGGGAACCTCCGGGTAACCGCTTACACACCACCGTAAAATACACTATCTTGTATCACTTATGGCCTTGTGTGCTGAGCCACCCTAAGACCTCACAGGGGAGCACAATAGTCTGCAAGTGAACAAAAGAGAGAAAAGGCCATCCTGCTGTCTAGCAAGCCATCCAGCTGGCAGGCAGATAACAATGAACCACTTGAACAGGCAACCTTGGTTGGTGTCATATCCATACCAACTCCGCCACAGCTCCAGTCCGCCTCCGGTCCATCCTCCCCCTGCACCTCTGCCATACCCTCCAGTTCACCTCCAGTTCACCTCTGCCTCCGATCTCCGGTACCTCTTATCCTCACCTTAAACATTTCTACCTACCCAATATTACTATGGACCTCCTAGGACCTCTGCCACCCCTGCAAAGGTTTTCCCACTCTCCAGTAGCTGTCGCTAATTCCACCCTTCACCTACCCACTCCACAATGCTTGATAAGGTGATTTTCTCATGAGCTCGCTGACCCGGAAAGTGGGTAAGTCTCTCTTGGGTTTTCCCCTTTGTTCCCATTTGTCTTTTATTATGTATATAAGTCCTGTACTGTAGTTGATGGCACCTTAGTGCAAAATCGACAAGACTATCCCCCAGAGTTGGCACCCCTCATTCTGAAGTTAAGGACCAAACTCTTAAGCATTACTGAATGTAGGCACAGTGCTCCTCTCCAAGTCGCTGAGGCCATGGTCCTCCCACCCATTCTCTACCTTCGGCCTCCTTCCAGGGAAAGGTCCAGGGACACTGCCCCTCTGAAAGGTTGCTTACTTATTTGGGGACGGTAACGTTCCATTCCCCTGTTTGCCTCAGGCCTCAGTAGGTCTGTCTAAACATAAGCTTTGATGGGCTGTATATTCAACATGGTAGAGGTAAAGGCTACTGGGTGTTTACAACTACTCCGAGGTGTATATATGTAAATTACATATCCTGGCACAAATAAATAAAGAAATAATAGCATCACTATAATGGGAATTATAGCAATGCAACATAATGATATCACTATAATCGGAATTATAGTGAAGTAAGGTTAATCCCTTACACCCTCCTTACCATGTCTTTGACAGTTGGAAGGTACATGTACAGGGAGAAAGTGTGGATGAGGGTGACAGGTGGATGGGTGGATGGATGGATGATGGTGGCAGTGGGTGGGACGGGCCAAGTGGCACTAGGATGCATTGACAGAAGTGATGGATATGCTGGGTCATGACACATAATCAGGAGGGAGATTATGTGTTTGAGTAACGTCAATGCATGGTATTTTCACCCCACTGTGCATGGGTTGCGATGACAGAATGAATGGTGTGGGCACAAAGCCTGGCCTGAAATGGGGCGGTCAAGTTCCACTCTCCCCTGCAGTCAACGATCCAGCCAGTTGTCCTGGGTCGATTTCCCTGTCACTGTCAATGGGGTAGGTGGCTTAGTTCCACTAAAGATGGGAACAAATCGTCCATCAGGTTCTTGTACCTTGACAGACAGGCATGAATTCGCCACTTCTGTGACAATGGCAGTGGCAGTGGGGATCCCTTCAGGTACTGGGACCCCAATGATTGGTTGACCCATTTGACTGACAGGGACTACAGGAACCTCTTGGGGTGCTTGCACCTCAACAGTGGGTTCTTTCATCTGTTCAGAGATGACAATGGGATCCCCATTGGTTGATGGGTTTGGGGGTGGGTTTTCCACCGTTTCCATGGGTGGCTTTGGCTTGTCATGTCAAGAGAGTGCGAGGAGAATTTCATTTAATTTCTCGTTTAATCTCTCTTCCACCTTAATGTTGCAATCTAAATGAGCAGTCGCTATTCCCAGAGATCTGGGTATTCATGTTATGGACATCGCCCCTCAATTCAGCGATGTCATTGTCAACTTGGTTGACATGATTTCTTAATACTCACACCATCTCAGATGTGATGGAGGACATGATGTGCACCTTGGGACATATGCTGTGAGGGCCTCAGCTATGAGGGCTTCAGACGTTGTAACTTGGTCAACGTCGCTTAGATAGATCCAACACATCTGAGATGCATCGCTGGGCCCTGCAAGTCCAGATCACCACTATCAATTGAAGTGTGTCATCTTCCACCCTACAGCCAGTGGAGGGACCAGCCATGTCAGCAGGAGCATTAGAATGGCTCCTGGTGTTGTATTTCGACATCAGGAGGGTGTGTCATTCAACAAGTTCACATGAGAACTTGATCAAAGTTGTCATATCCATCCACGACCATCATCCTCCACTACCTCCAGTCCCTCTGGATTACCTCTGCTGCTTCGTCACTAACCTCAGAGCCTCCGTATTCCACAATCACCTTCGACTCCCTTGATGGTCACCACCCCCTCAATCCAATATATTACCTACGCCTCCCTAAGTACAGATTCCTGAAGGCCTCCGGACAGCTCTGACGTCCACTAGTGCACTCCCACCTCCGCTGGGCAATTCACTTGCTTGCCCTGCAAGCCTACCTTCAGGCCGATCCCTCCTTTCTGTCATATCCATACAACTCCAGACCTCTGCTCCTGTTTCTGGACCTCCATCTCCTCCTCCAGAACTCCACATCCTCCACCACCTTCCCCTGTTGGTTGTTGAGAGCCCACTCTACCTCTGGCTCCAACACAACGTCCAACACTACCTCCGGTCTGACTCCGGTTTACTCCGGGTCCAATCCCAACCTTGTACCTTCCAGACCAGAGTTTGCAATGCTCCTTACCTCCGGCTCCAGACTCCTGTACCAGAACCCCATCACACCTCCACCTCTGGAACTCCGGTCACATCTCCGCCTCTGGACTTTGACCTCCTCCATCTTATCTCCTTGTATTCCTTATTGCATTTCATTTATTATGTCTTGCCAATATTCCGGACTTTGACTTCCGACTCCGGACCTCCAGAACTTACTCCGGACCCTGCAGTCTCTACTGTATGGTGTCATTTAATCCTCTTCCTTATTTAGACAGCTGCTTCCTTTCCATATTAGTCAGCTGTCATTCCCCACAACCCCCTCCGCTCCTTCCCCTCTTGGCCTTGCCCTTTTGGGAAGCACCATAGAGTTCCAACCCTTGGCCCTTGGGGTTGTTCCCTCATCCAGTCCCCCTTTGTTCTCCTTCCAGTTCCCTTTGTCCTCTGACTCCACTCCTGTAGTATTATATATATATACTCTGTACATAGATTCCTGTGCCCCTAGTCTGAAATCGACCATGATGACTGGATTGTCCCCCCAAGGGGCTCCCCCTGCTGACCTGAAATTAAGGACCACCTTAGACAACAAGCAATGGCACAGCACTCCACTTGAGTCGCTGAGGCCAAGGTCCCTCCATTCCTGAGTCCCTTCTCCACTTCCGGACAACTCCGCGCTCCTCTGACACTTTCCATTTCTGGGTTATAGCCTGCCACTCTGCTAACCCCATAACTGTCAGGGACAGCTCCGAAAGCGGTGAGGTCCTGGCGCAAGGGACTCGGTGGGACAGGTGTCGGCTATGCATAGCGGCGGTCCCATCGTGGGGTGAGCATCCCCGACCACTTAGGCTGAAGTGGGAAATTGAGAAGAAGGCTGCTTCTTCTGTTCCCACCCCAGGCGCTATTATATACATGCAGTTAGGGTCACGTGGAGGAAGCCACGTCATCTCCACATACAGCCGCACCTCCCCGGGTGTCTCTGCGGGAGATCCCGGAGGTGGCCGCTCAGTAGGCAGGAGTGTGCGCAGCGCGTGTGGCGATCGGGGGAATGGGGTTAGGTACATAGTGGTACATGGAGAAAAGGGAAATTGACCGTTGAAGGAGAGAACGAAGGAAGGTCAGTTGGGAGGTTCAAACGAGACCACCACCAAGCTGTTCCCTGGTTCTTTAGTTAGGATGGGGAAGTGTACTAGTGTTGTTTATTGTAAATATAGTACCAATCCGAGTGTTTTGGCTAATTCTATTTTTATGGGTTAGTTTTAAAGTTCCTGGGAATTGACTTACAGATAAACCGAGCCCTGCGGAGCTGTTTCTTTATTGAAATTTATTAATTTGTCTAGGTGTAATTCTGTGTAGCGTTGTTTAATTTGGATTTAAACTTGAATTTAATCTTCTACTTGGTGAAGTTTCAACGATTCTATTCAGTTAATGAATTTGGATGGTGTCTGGAGTGTCCCTTGAGTTCGTTTTATTTTTGTCTTTATTTTATTGCTTGTTTTAACAGTAGCAAAATAACTGTTTTGTGTTTACACTTTGAAATCTGGAGTGTTAACCAGCTCTCCTGTTGAAATATCTACTTAATATTTCTCTCCTTAATTGCTGCCTTTTACTACAGTGGCAATCTTAACTGTATATCACTTTTTCGCACTGGAGTGACAACCAGAAATGCTTGAGAAAAATAATACTCTATTTTCTTACTTCTCTGAGGGGGGCGAAAGGTCGCAGAAAGGGTCTCCCTTTTATACTCCTTGGGTCGCCTTCCTTTTTCACGCTCTACCTTCTATTTACAGGATTTATTTACAGTGTATTTTTCTCAAACTGAATAAAAAGTGAAATTTTCACGCTATAGTTCCGCTGCGCTTTGCTGCGCTGAACTGCGGTCTACTGCGGTCAGACTGCGCCTGGAATCCTTATTGTCCTTCCTCGCCTAAGCTATTTTAATGGTTAATTAGAATTTGTCTGCGCCGCATTTGCCGCAGTTCCCTATTTCAAATTCCCCATATTTCCCATTAAGTTCGCTATGACTCGGTCATACTGAATTCAAACCTCGCATTACTATGCGTGCGACTGTGCTGAGACCTTCAGCTGATTTATTCCAATTTTATTTAGTGACATTTTAGTTAAAATGAGACTGAAATGATAAATGAGTGAATTATTCAGGTTTAAAACTGAAAGAAAAAGTTGCTAGTAATCAAGAATTACTCAAACGAATGTGTTATAGCTCTCTACTTCATTAGAACATTGTTCCCTAAAATTCCCGCCATGGTCCGTCGTAGTTTAGTAGTTTTCGTGAATTTCGTTCATATTCCCTGATTCCCTTTTGTATTATCACATCCTAATCCTCCATATGTATTGTTCGTTGTTATAGTAGGTCGTCCTCGAAGATATCATATTTTTATGTATTTTATTTAGGGCTCTAGACCTCTTGAAGCTGTCTTCCCGCGTGTTTTCAGGTTTCTAACTTCATGTCCTTGTATCTCATTCATTTCTGGATGTTTTCTCACGTTCTTGGTATCATAAATTTCCATTTATTCCCACCTTTCCAATGGTACTAAGGTTGTGTCCTATTTCCCTGTATTCGTTGAATTAGCAAAGTTTCGCGCGCACATTCGGTAATCACGTGCGTCGTTCCCATAGTTGTTCGTATGCGGGAGCCGTTTTCGTTTAGTTGTTCGGGATTTATGATATGCGCGGGTGTTTATTTCTTTCATATGGGCTTCTGTGATTTATTTCAGATTTTTCCCTCATGATCTAAGGTTGTTTTTGCACTTTTCGTGCTTTGTTTTGACCGGGCTCTTCCTTATTTGGACGGAAATTGGTCTTCGCGATCTGCCGAAGTGCGGATCTCGGTTCCGACGGCTGGTTCCCTGCGCATCGCCACCCTCACGTGTCATTACACATGATGCGGATTCCTATATTCCTGTCATGGGTATAACTTCACAACGGCTGGACCGTTTGGGCTGAGAATTTGCATAACTATAGTCTCCTATTTTTCATAATTTCCGTGTAAATTTCGTTGTATGTTTTAATTATGGATCCTACGCAATCATCGTCTTGTCCCTGAGCTCGGACTTTTGATGTCGCTATTCCCGTTATTGGATTTCTCATTAACGCATGATCCTTTTATTATGGAAATTTGGGAGGATTAAGAGTAGATCCTTTCCTTTCTAATGGGCTATCAAGCTTGTCTCGGTCGTTACTAGTTAATCTTCGCGCTTGCTTTTTAGACATTGTCCTCGTTTTGCAGGAGTTTTAGTCATATCTCCGTCGTTTATGGGTAGTTTCCCCTATAATTACTCTCATTGGTTCCGTTTGGGTGACATCTACATTTCCTATTATAAACACGACTTTGACTTTTGCATTAGTTCCTGAGGAATCTTTGTTCCGTGGTACTTCCATCCTTGCTATGTGTGCGGACGTGGGAAAGTAGTTTCCGTGGAGGTTCTCTGATTATTTTTATAGTCAAATCTTGGTCGATTGTCCTAATTCTTGGTTTAATATTTGCTATAAATTCCCCCGAGAATTCCGTCTCGTTGATGGTAAGCTTGAAGTATTTTTGTTATTTTTCTTTCTTTCGATTTATCGTGTATAGTCGTAATAATTCGTAAAAATTCGTAAAATTCGTTAAAATTCAGGTCCTTCTATGTTCTCATATCTACTTGTCGTATGAGGTTTTGTGATTTATCTGGCATATTTTCATAATGGGTTTCCATAGTGTGGCCGTTATTTCTCCTACAAACAGGCACAGCGGGTCTATTGCAGTCCCTTGCAATCCCCTTTTTAATCACTTTGTTTCTCTTATCTTTTTTTTTTTTCATCATGTTTTCTTAAGATTGTTTATTGGATATTTGCATAAGGTTGCTTTAAGTCTCGTCTCAATCTTTTCGCGAAAGTGTTTCATATTCAGTCCTAGTGGTAGTACAAAGAATGTATTCGGAAGATAATTCGGGGTTGATTGGGCGGTAGTGTGATTGGGAGAGAGTGTGTTTTCACATCAAGCCATCTCATAGCTACCTCCAATATCTTTCCCTTCGCTCAACCGGCCAGGTTTCGTTGGCAAACAACACGTCTTGGTCCGATCGGTACATTTCCATGGCTACTTGCAACTCCTCCATAGTTTCGGGATCGAACTCTCGGAGCTTCTCGTATACGAATGTTTGGAAAACGTGGTAAAATTCGAGAGGCCGTTCCTTGCGGGGTATAGTTAGATGTTCGAGGGATAGATGGAGAAAATGATGAAGTTGTCCCCATGCTTGACGTAGATTGTTGTCGATGTAATCTACCGTTCCATGGTCGTTGCAGATAGCAGCTTCCAACGTAATCCTTCCTATTACCAATTCTATGACTTCTTCCAGGTCTCGTACCAACGGCCTTGTCTCGTGCAACTTGAATAAAGTTCCCATTCTGCGCGGATTTTCTCGAAGCGCGATCTCATCTTGAATTAGCGACGTGCATTCTTGAGTAGTCCTCCACGTTTTGTCTAAGTCTCGTTCCAATTGTGTTAGGTGTTTGTTGAGTAAGACGCTTACGAACTTGACGCCCTTGGGGTAACCTTGGTCGTAGTCTGTGCGCATCTTTTCTTTAAGTAGTTTGGCGAATGCTGGGGATGCCGTGGTTCCAACGCGGGGTATATAAGAAGATCGGGTAGGTCCCCAGGTGGGTTCCGGTGAATTATGGGGTACCGACGCCACTTGGTTAATGGGGGGGTCCGTCCAGTTATATGCATACTCTGCAATACTACTTTCGGGATACTGTAATTCCGCGTCCTGTAAATCTTCTGAATCCGTATCTACAGTGGCTATCTGGGTTATCTTAACTTCCTCTGTCTTTGTCTTCACGTGCTTACTATCGGATTGTAGGCGGGACTCTTCCAGAATTCCCCCCGTCCTTTCCAATAATACCCTGTCCGCCGTTTGTCGCTGGTTAAGGTTATTCCTCACCCTTTCAATCAAGTATTCAAGCTCGGAGTCCGATCCGTGGCTATCAGCACTAGTGGACATTTCATCTGTTTCCGGGATTGTCACCTTTCCCAAGGTTGTGATTGCTCCTGCTGCTACGACGTGATTTGGAATCCAACCTTCCATCTGACCTCGCTTGACTAGGGAGACTGGCGATTTGGCGGTCTGGACAGTAGACATATTCAGATATAAGCTAGTTCGGATTATTCTGAGGGGGCGGGACTCTAGCTAAGTTGTCTTCGTCCTCCTCTGATTTTTATATATTTTTGCTTCTGTATACTCCATCCTCCATTGGTACTCTGGGGTTCTGAGCTTTCCCTTCGTGGATTGTGTCTTGTCCCCCCCATCTTTCCAATGACCGCGAGGCAGTCCATCCGCAGCCTCGTCTCTCCGTTCCACTTCCCTGTTCCTTTCTACTCGACCTTTATGATATCTGCTCTGGTTTGGTCTTCAATATCATAGCTCAACGTCTCAATTCTCCTGGCTGTTCCCTTAGACCAAATCCTCCTTCGGCTTTTCCCTTTGGGCGCGCACTCCGATCTTAGATCGCCGCCGTTACTGGGGTTCTCCGATTTTCCCATGACTCCTCTCCCTGCTGACTTCATGGCTTGTCTCACTGGCAAGTCATCTTCGGGTTTTCCATTTATTTGGATCTTGCGCCCTCTTTGATCGATTCCTTGTGTCTTACTCGTGTATCCCCCGATTGCTACTCAATTCTTTCTGGGCCGATGAGACATTACTTGTCTCTACCTTATCCCTGGTTTTGTTTACTTTAACGCTAGAGTACATTGGGATCTACGCACGGAGTCCGGGAATTTATCGATCGGCTGTGTTCATAGTCTCGGCTATCAGCGTTTGCCATACTGGGACAGCCATTTTCGGATCCGTACCTTTTCCTGCCCCCGGAAAGGCAATAAAGGGGATGTTACTCCTCTTCCTCCTTCCGTTGGTTTAGTAGGGGTAAGAAGGGTTGCGGGATACGTAGATTTGCCTGCCCGTTGGCTTCCTCCCTTGGTTCTTGAGTAGATACCGGTCCCCCAACGATTCCTGAGAGCTTGATTTCTCTCGATACTCCATATTCCTATGAACCGCCTCTGGTTCTTCTCCGTCGGACGTTAATGGGCTCTCCGGTTCCGGTTCCTTGTCCTTTTTGGGTGTTAATCCGTAGCGCCAGCCTGCTAACGCTATGATCAGGCCCAGGATTACTGCGATCGTCGTGTATAGAGTAGTCTTCATGCTTTGTAGACTAGTCTTGTCCGCTTTCAGGGGGTCTTTCTGGTGCTGTGGGATCATTCTAAGTCATTTTATACCTTTCTTCCGAGTCCAAATACAACATTTTTATTATTACACCCATATATTTCTGGTGTGTATCTGACACGCTTCCCTCCAGTCCTGTCCGTTGGCTATGTAGTCGTCTATGTGGATCATAGCAAGTCCTTCGGATAGACCATGTACTGCCATCACATCCCGTACTGCATACCGATATGTAAAATCCGGGCATTCCACTACTGGCGGTCTGCCGGTTACTCGTTGTACCTGTTCGGGTGTTGGCGGGTCATTGACGATCATTTCAGCCATTTCTTCAAGGGGGAACTCTTCACCCTGTCTGCTCCTCCGCTGATCAGATCGCCAGTTCTTCCAGCCTCTCCTTGCCTGTGTGCAACAGCCGACCGCACGCTTCCAGACTCTCGAAGCCCATCCCTTCTTCATTTTTATTTTATTTTCCTTTTATAACTTGTTAGCTTTTTAGGGTTATACTATGCTTTTTCCCTGATTATTTACCGCGCGCGCTTTTGACTTTTTGTTCCACCGCCGCGGGCGCTCTGTATTGTATGTGCCTTGTTTGATCCCTGAATCCATTAACGTGTGTTAGCAGCTTGGATAAAGAACAATAAGGCAAAAGGGTGGACCACAAGGTGACAATGAAATTAATAAATGAACCCATGAAGTCAATATCGACCATCAATCTCGCTTCCCCACCGCATATCCGTCATTATAACTCCCATCCCGTCATTTCATCCTCTTCTCCTGATCCGTCGCTGTCCACTGAGCTCAAAATCGTGTGAATTGGTAGAGATATGGGGGAGATATGGGGAAAATAGTAGATAACCATGGAATTTGGGGAAGTGGCAACATTAGAAAAAAATGGAAAAAATGTGGAAATGTTCCGTGGGCATTGGGACTATGTCTGAAGCTTGAGGGTGCTCGTTGGAGCCTCGGAAAACGCGATTCTGGCCTTGTTTGTATAGTACTTCCTCTGCCCTCCTACATACAGGCCTTACTCTTTAATCGTGGTCCCTCACAATTTCCTCTAGCAACTCCTACGTTTCATTCTCCTTAATTACGGCTTTCCAAAGACACAAAAATCATCCGAATTGATGAAGAAATGAGGGAGATAGAGCCTCCCTACACTTTTGGCTATTCCTGCCCAACCCGGAAATTTGCGAATATCTCCTGAACGAGCGAACCGTTTCCTTTCAAACTTTGCAAATCGGTAGAGCTGCTATTCCTCTATCGAACAAGCCCAAGAACACATCTCGGTCGTCTCTAGAAGGGGCTCGCGTTAACTTTTAAGTTTGACGTCCATTATATCTCACTTTTTCTCATCTACCTCCCTGAGATCTTCGCCGTTCCCAGCGTTCAAGGGCTCGTTGGGAAGGTATAATTAATCCACACAATGTTCATTATTACGCTTAAGCGTCATTCTCAGATGTTGGCAGTGTGCAGGATTCTTAAATGTGTAAGCCCGTTTATGCACAACTATTGAGGAGTTGGCCGAACTTGTAGACATTTTAAGCCAAAACTGCACTTTTCGGCAAATTTGCTAGTGAACTCTGCACAACAATGCGAGTAAATTAAGGGAGTTTGCGGGGTGATGTAGAAATAAGGTCCTTGGTACCCCAGTAGTAAGGGAGTGCATCACGGCATGGTAAGAGGTGAAGTCCACGGTATGTTGGCTTCTCTCTGACATGGATGCTGTCTCTACTACTGGCTAGTTGACTGCTCCGTAATAGGGGTGGTAAGTGCCCAACTGCCTTGTGTGACGAAGGTCAATGATAAATAGAGGTGTAAAATTTGTTAAGTCTGACTTGGGCGTCCAGCACCGATGATAATTACAGACGGGTATAATCAACCTCAGCGTACATGAGCATGCAGGTTGTTGATTGGGGGGCGATGGCATAATCTACCCATGAGCACCTTGGTCTGCAGTCGCATTGGACATTGCGTCCTCATGTATAATGCGATCTGCTTTACCCTTGTGAAGTGTCTTGCCGGGACTAAATCTGCACCTGCGGACTTCAATGCGTCGGGGACAACGTCCGGTATCTCAAATGTGTGTACTTCACTTTGGGAATCGGAGCATAACATGAAATTGATCTCTGCGCTCAGCTTTAGCTTGTACACTTAGGTCTGTTCATCTAGACTGGGGCGAAGTTTGTCTAGGGTCAACATTCGGTTCTTGGAGTTCTGGCAATTACTGGCTGGGGCGTCACTCTGAGCCCAGGGGGCGGCTCAATAATGGGTTCTCTGACCGATCTGGCTTCTTCGCTGGCTAGACTGCTCAGTGCTCTTGGGTCGGCTCTGGGCACATCTGGCTCAAACCCAAGGGCAAACGGGTACAACTCTGACATCTCCGCGATGCCAGTGCTTATTGCTGGAAGCATAAGGCACTGGCTGCGACCAGCCTCTTGTGTGCTCTCTGGCTCGCACGATGGGCTGTGGCCTTCGTCTGGCAACATGTTTTCGCCGGACTCAAGTTCTGATATGAACTCTGGCTCAAACTCTGGAGTTACATGGCGCATGGTCGCATTCTGGAACGCAAGCGACTGCTCTGACTCCAAAGTCGACTTGGAAATGTCTGACTTATCACAGTAAGGCTTGCTGAACCTCTCAGGATCATCAGCGGCTGGCTTAATCGGGCGGTAGTACGCTGTTGCCTCCAACAATTGGGGCTCTATGACTTCGTCTGTGTGTGCAAACTCGATCTCAACTGGCTCTGGAACATGAGAAACCAATTTGTCATCAGAAATGTCGGGTTCTGAGCTGTAAGAGGGGCCGCTAGGCCTTAACTCTTTAAGATTGTGCTCTGGTACATCGGATGTACTCTCGGATGCACTCTCGGATGCGTCGTAGGAGCTAGTACTCTCGGTTTCAAACTCGGAGTCAGACACGTACGCGACATTTGGCTCAGCATCTGCAGCGCTGGACATCTCAGACGCTTCAGACTGGTGTGGATCATTCGAATCTAACGCTGGGCTACCCGTCTCTGGGATTTCCAGGTGACATGCTGGAGCTCATACTTGGATCGTACTCAAGCACAAAGTCTCTCTGAACCGAGGACTGCATTGGGAACTGAGCATACACCCTGCTATGGGCCTCAGCTGGCGATGCGCAGGAACTAGCGCTGTTGCTGCTGTCTTCAGCAAGACTGTGACACAAGTCATGGTAAAACAAGTCGTCCTGGAGCAGGGTCTTTGCCGCTGCGACAACATCGTGCATTTCGGGTGGCCGGGTCAAATCGAGCCACGGACCTTGCACTTGCAGCTCAAACTCGAGCTCATATCTGAACTGCGGGACGTCTCGAGAAGTTAAGTTCCGCGTGGTGATCCCAGGATGTCCAGGACGTCCACTAATAAATAGCTGATAAAGGCCTTGAACGTGATAAAGCCTTCGGCTCACGGTTTATTGTGCAGCTGGATAGGATGTGTACAAAGATGATTTTAGTTGCAACACATACATGAACGCCAGTCACAGCGACTCCTTTGATGGGGAAAGCACCCATTGTCTCCCTATGAGCTAGCGGAGTTACCATCGGACATTGAACACAGCTGCGTGGGTGGGAGATGTTTCTAGGAAAAATGTCTTTGATCAACGAGCCCACGAGGTTCTGGATAGCGGAGCTGCTGCTTACCTTGGCCAGAGACGGACCACGAATGTTCGGAAACTGGCGCAATGCCTTCCTCCCTCTGAGCCATGGCCACTGAGGAAGCTGGTTCACCGTTTGTGTGATCATGATATGAAGGATTGGGGATCATTTCCATGAGATCTCTTCCCTAGGGACTGTTGAAGCCTTTGACTGGTGTTGCGCTCGAGGCCATCCCCCATTGACCTCTCGCTGCCCCTTTCCCTCATCGTGATGGCTACGTCTCTGGTGAGAGGAGAAGCTGGAAGTTGGGAAGTTGGAGGGGGTGTGGGAGCAGAAGCCGAGGGAGGAAAGGTGGAGGCGATGCTCAGCAGGGCCGTCAAGTGTTGTTCCAGGGCCTCTAGCTTAGGTGTCACTTGCTTGCTGATTACTTCCTCTAGCAGGGACCTGACGCTTCCTTCGTCCAATTGGACTGTGGCAGTACCCTGGTTGGGGACTGAGGAAGTTGAGGATTCCTCGTCGAGGATACCTGTCATATCCGGTAGGGGAGGGCCCTGCGCAGGCAATTGGAGGACTTTGTAGTGCCATAACCTGCTCACCCCGCGAAAGAGAGCCAGGATATTGTCAGTAAGACCACCAACCTCATTCCTCTGCAGGCCATATATGCGATCGGACGTGGTGGTAAGTCGTCCTGCCTGCGCATCGATTCCATTGCTCGTATCTTCTTCAGGATCGATGATCCCCACTTTCAAGCGTCGTCCGATGGCTGCTGCCAGATGTCGGAATGTGGAAACATCAAGCCCCGCGTTATTAAGGTATTTTTTGGTCTGTTTCTCCAAGTTAGCACTGAGAAATGGCGTGGCAGGCATACTGCACTGGTCAGTGTAAAAGAGATGGTGGTGCAAGTAGCTCCGTTGTTCCTCCCCCCAAAGGATTCCGGCAAACTCCTCCTCTATGGTCCGGATGAATATAAGGTACTTGAAGAGGAGGTTGGAGAGGCCCTCATGCAAAAAACGGGCGATGTACTTCCGTCGTTTGGTTACAGAGTTCGTCTACTTTGGCAGTCAGTTTACTGTCTCCCTCAATCTAGAGGCCTCACTTTATTGTAACCGATGATGGTGGCCAATCCACCAGGAAGGGCAAGGAGGCTCCTCTCCTCATTTTGAAGATTTCTGTATAATATGCCCAGTATTTCGGTGCCCGAGGTGGTTGTCCACCTCCGATATGGATGGCAATAAGGAAGAGAGTATTGAGCTCTCGTGCCTGCTTCATCCACTGACCCACCCGTAGTCGGGACCACTCCAGGCCCCCCTCTGGGTTTTCAGCAAACCACTCGGATGAACGCAATGAGAATAATACTCGGTATCTGGCGTCGGAAATCGTGAGATGATTGAGGAAGCCAAAGTGGGGGACTTTATTCCCAACGTTGTCTCCGATGTCGGAATAATGGATGGTGAGGTCAACCCCATTTGAGAGCTCGCGCATCTTCTCTTCAATGCTCTTGAGCAATCCCTCATAAAAGGAGGGGATATCTGCGAGTTTGATCCATTTGTCCTTGACTGACAGTGACTGGTAATGTTCATCCCACACCACAGTGGTCCGTCCTACTTCATCAGTCATTGCCACCCTGGCAGCGAATTGACCTATCGATGAGATGGTATTGAAGGGACTTTGGCGGCCAGAATGCAGCCACTGGGCGCAGAATTCCCTATTGGAGGCAGCGGGTCAGGGCTGTGGGTATGACATGGGAAGTTGGGGGGACTTTCCACATACTCAAAGTCTTTGCTCTCGTTGTGGACTAGCGGCATGTTGCCATCCACGTCGTCGTCATCAGTGTCATCATCATTAGCATCATCATGATTGCTACTGCTGTTGTCGCTGTCATTAGCCTCGTTGTCCACTGGGGCACTTAGAGCGAGTGTTTTGATGGCCACGAGTCGAAAAACATGAAGGAGTCCTGATGTTTTGCCACACACAGCTGAACAGGAACTGAAGTTGCCGTGGGTTGAATCCAAGTTGATGAGCATTGTGAAGGTTCCGATTGGATCCCTGTCTGATTGGTAGAAGATCTTGCGATGGTTGGAAAACAGCAAGAAGTGGAGGAGGTGATGGATCAGTATGTCCCATCTGTCATCGTCCTCTAGACCCGACTGGAGGGCATCGCAGATGCCCAGTGCTGCCCTCCTTTGGCGCCTGGTGAGCAGGATGGGGAGCAGATATTGCTCCGTCATGCAGTGCCGAATAACATAGGAAAGGAGGCGAACTCCAAGATCTTCATATCTCTCGGAGGTCGCTGAGTTCTGCGGATATGAAAATGGGATGTTATGGTCGCTACAATGATGATTGAGATGGGAAAAAGCCATATAAGTGATGAACAGAGGGACTTACTCTGAATTGCTGTTGACCCAGCTGAGGACCAAAGGATGGGTGGACTTGACGATGGGGTTGATCCGTTCAAAGTACTTTCTGACTCTGGAAGAAAGCCCTTGCATCCAAGTGGGGTCATCTTTGGCATGAATCACGGTTATTTCATGAAGTTCCTGATGTGGGAGACCCTCTGTGCGATTCAACCACCCATATGTGGTGAGGAAGGCATTTCCTTTACGTGGATTGGGGGCTTCCATGGTCCCGCTGTGCTGCCATCTGTAGCGTTCGTTGTCAGAGAGCTTAGTGAAGAAGTTCTCCAAGTCGGTCTCATGGATACCGAAAGATGATAGGTCGTTTCCATGCACTGCCCATGCCTGGAAGCCACTTTGTCCTGGCCAAACAACCTGTACGAAGCTCTCAATGGGGTGGTGGGGGAAGCCTGTGTGCTGAGTTGCCATATGGTTTCGCACCACCGAGTCCCTCTCTAGTCCAGCAAACAGACACTCCGGAAAGTTGCACATGAAGCCACACTGGAGGTCAATGGATCGGATCGGGTGCACCTTGTGCTTAGGACGCGCTATCTCAGGAGGGATATCTAAATCATCGAGAATCTTCTCATAGTTTGAAGGCAGCTTTGCCGTATGCTTTCTCGACACATGGCTCTTCAGGTTCTTACGATGAACCCCCTGTTTGCATGTCTGGCAAACAATGAGGTTATATCTGGGGTCAATCCCCAGCTGCAGGTGACGGAATTCCGGAGGATGAATGAGAGATGATTCATCCACTGGGACCGCCAAAGATGACGAATGTGCATTCAGATGAAGGGGGCCTGAAGTGTGAGGGGCTGAGGTTGGGGTAGAGACCGAAGTATCCGAAAGGAGGTTACTCGAGGATGGATTGCTCAAAGCGGATGCACTGTAGTGAGAGGTAAGGTGTTCCTGTATGTGCACGTGTTTTGAGGCTGCACTCGCAGATGTACCCTTGTAGGAGCAGTCAGGTTGAGGACAGTGGAATTTACCTGTTCCTGGATTACGAGTGAGTACGATTTCTCCTGTTGGGGACTCGATGTGTTGCTGGTGTTTATTAGACACATGTGTGTTGAGGGCCTTCTCCTTTCGGAATTCTTCCCCACATACGTCACACTGAATCCCTCTGGAGACCGTGTTGGCAAAGAGAAACAGGGTAACTTAATTGACTTACTCGTTTGTGGTTGTGGTCATTTTAGAATTACAGCAACCCTCAAAAAAAATCTGTGCGTCAGATTTGGATGACCCAGCTGGATCTCGTGCGTGTCCAAAAATGGTCGGAAATCAGTGTCAATACATTTGGCATTTAGCATTGCTCCTAAGCCAGTTCTCTGTGAGGCGTGCCTTGTCTTGTCGGATTCCGCTCCAGGTCTGTAGGACGAGTTTCCCTTGGATTGCGTTCCTGCGGTACTTTTTCCTGTTCATGAGGCATCTGTCTTGCTTCAGATTCAGGGCGGTTAGGAAGGTGCCGATGGCTTCGTTGGGGGGGGGGGGGATGCTGCTAGCTTCACCATCGTCGTTACCAATTACCTCAGCTTCTACAGTGGCCCTGCACTTTCCGTGGAGACGATTCTATAAAGTCGGGTCGCACCCGCTTTTGTCTTTCCTTTGGAGTCTTTGACTTTGGTCAGTGGGGCTGCCATTACGTGGTGTAGGCCCATTTCCGCCGGCCAGTTGATTCCTTTGGTCTGGCCCATTCTTTTGGCGATTGCCCAGAGTTTCGGCCCTTGGTTGTGTGCATGTGGGCATTGGAAACATTGTGTTCCATCAATTCGATTGTGTTGCATTCCTTGCACACTGCCCTATCTTCGCGGCTTGGGATTTTTGCCCAGTATGTGCCCTCTTTGTGGGCCCCCCTCGCCAGTTTCCAGAGGAAGTTTCGTATGTTCGGGGTGGAGTCGTTCCTTCGCTTGAGTATTGACTTCCAGATCAGGTTGTCCGTCGGGGGGCGCAGTGGAAGTCTTTCAGTGCGTTCCTTATCCCATTCATGTTATCTTTCACTCTATCACTTATAGATGATCTTTTATTAGACATATCGCTCACTTGACCCAACCTCATCCCCTCATCCACTTCACACGCTCCAGACAATCCCACCTACACCTCACGCTACCCCAAACTGACCGCCCCAGCTTCACAATCAAACACTCTAACAAAGTCAAGTGGCTCGGCATCGCATAGGACTCCAAACTATCCGTCTCCCCCCACATACAGCTGGTGGAAGTCCCTGAACGTCCATAACATTGTTGGTTGCCAATTCGTACTAACGAAAAAGCGTAGTGCGGATGGGAAGGTTACTCGTTTCAAGGCACGTCTGGTTGCCCAAGGCTTCAGCCAACCCGAAGGCATCGATTATTCCGAAACTTTCGCCCCAGTTGTAAAGTCTGCTTCTTTGCGGGTTTCCCTAGCTATATGTGCTCGCCAGGGCTAGAGAACCCACCAGATGGATATCAAGTCCGCATATCTCAACGGTGTATTGTTGGAGGAGATCTATATGCGGCAGCCCAAGGGATATGAGGAGAAGGGGAAGCAGAAAATCGCGAAGTTGAAGAAGGGACTCTATGGGCTAAAGCAGGCCGGGTGGGTGTGGTACGCAACGATTGTCATTATCCCCGTCTACATTGACGACAAACTTCTCACCAGAAACGATGAAAAGCTACTGATCTCCATCCAAGATGCCATTGGAACACGATTCAAGGTATCAAGTCGAGGGGAAGCATCATGGATTTTAGGTATTCGAATCCACCAAGACATATCAGCAGGAGCACTATTGATCGATCAGTCGCAATATATCAAGGATGTCCTAACACGCTTCAACATGATGGACTGTACACTATCGATCACACCACTACCTGCTGGAGTACACTTCAAACCCACCTCCCACGAAGTGCATTCAAAGGTCTCCTCATATCCATTTCTCGAGGTGATTGGATCCCTAATGTATGCGGCATTGGGGACGCGACCGGAGATCTGTGCGTCGGTGAGAGTGCTGGCTCCCTTCGCCACGACATTTGGCCAAGAACATGTGGATTGGATCAAGCATATTATGAGGTATCTCGCTGGGACTATTAACAGGGAAATCGTATATACCGCAGGTGGGGGAGATCTCGTAGGCTTCACGGGCACGGATTGGGCAAGCGATATGTTGAACCGCAAATCAGTATCTGGATATGTATTCCTCCTGTCTGGGGGGGCGGTTTCCTGGATGTCCAAACAGCAGGTCAGCGTTGCTCCATCATTGACACATGCCAAATATGTGGTGGCTGCCGAGGAGGTGATTTGGCTCCGGTGGTTGCTTGAAGAGTTGCATGAAGGAATGCCAGGACCTACACATCGACAATTGAGCTGCCAACCTTCTCACACGGAACCCCATTAACCATGCAGCAACCAAGAGTATCGACGTCCATTACCACTTCATCAGGGAGTGCCTCACCAATGGAACTATCAACCTCAAGCTCATCAGGATGAATCCCTGGAATGGTGCTTGTTGTGCCATCGGTGCAGTTTGTACTGCATATGGTTTTGCACGTGAGCCTGTAACTCGCTTAGACCATGTGATGTCTAGCCCATGGTGTGGCTGTCCGGGCGAGTTGCTCACCCAGAATCTTCCCACGCTCTTGGCTGTGGGTGATCGCCCTTCAGCTTCACTTTTTCCGCCTCCGTTTTTGGGGGTGTAGTGATGCCGAGAGTTCCCTATCTTCTTAGATCGGGAGATTTTCCGGTTCCCTCACATTTTGTAATGTGAGGTACTCGTCCAGGCGGACAAGGTCATTATGATTTCCTAGGGGTTCCCATGTGGTGTCCCCTAGCTTCCACTTAGCCTTAAACCAGAGTTCGTCATGAACCCATGTGTGGTTTAAGATTTTGCGAACTACTGCTTTGCAATTGGGGTCTTCCCCGAAATCGTAAAATATGTTTACTTCCCGATTTCTTGGTCATTCAGCTCATGGGGTGTGAGCCAGGATATGTGGAATCTTGGGTGGACTCCACATTGTTCAAGTTGTGGTGGCAACTTGAGGACGTAGTTTGACATCTTCAACTTATCCGTGGATCAGTATGCAAGCTTGCCTTTTCTCAAAGGCAGGTCTGGGCATCTTTTTCCTGGATTGTTTGAGCAGCACAATTGTGTATTATCACGTTGTGTGCTGCCATGAGGTTTTCCTTCACCTTTTGGGCGAAGTCATTCACTCCTGGGTAGTCCGAGGGTGGTGCTGTTAGGCACATCTTTGGCATGTGGCCATAGATTAATTTGAATGGGGCAAATCCTGTCAATGTGTTCAAGCTTGCATTGATTGCGAATTCTGCCATCGACAGCTTCACTGCCCAGTTGCATTGATCTGGTCTGACCATTGCATGTAGTATCTGTACTACTTTTTGTATCATTCTTTCCGTTTGGCTGTCGCCTTGCGGATGGAATGCAGTTGTGAATTTCAACTGCACACCGAGTATTCGGTGTAGTTCATGCCAAATTTTGACGTGAATTTTGAATCTCGATCTGATGCAATCAAGTGTGGTGATCTGTGAAGTCATACGACTTTGCAAAGAAACATGAATGCTAGTTCTCATGCATTCATGGTTGTTTTAATGGGGTCAGGTGGACATTGTTGTGTCTGCCTGTGGACAATTCCTTGGATGGAATCATATCCCAAGTCTGTTGGGATGTGGTTACTTCCCGGGTTTGGGTACTCCCCCCTAGAGCTTCCTCTAGGTTATTTGGTCTCGAGAGTATCTCGAGTTCATAGGCATGATGCCTATGATGACTCCTTACAACTGGTCTTCTAATGCCAGTTTGATCTGTTTGCATTTGTGGTCAGCTGGAGGTCTCAGGCTGGCACCGGAAGCAAACTGAATTCCCCTATCAAGGAATTGTATTAGGGATGTTTTCTCCCCTATTGTTATCCCTTGGATGTTTATCCGAGTTTTTCCCCACCATTAATAAGTGGGGTTAAACCTGAAACCACACAGTTGCCCTTTGGATTCGACACCATGTTGAATGTCAGGTGACTTAAGCTGAGTTGCTTGGCTTTACCCGAAGTTACTCGGTCAGGGAGCATGTAACAAGGCATGACAGGAATTTCTGTCACGCACTGTGACACATCTAAATGTCACGCTCTGCGACGCAATTCAATGTCACACACTTGCGACATGAAGAAGATGGAATAGAGAACCAAAGTCTGAGAAACCAATGCTGTAGGGGCATTGGGACTTTGGAAATTAGTACAACAGTTGTATTGCTCAAAACAGAGCAAATTTACAATTAAAATGGATTTAAAATGAGTATCACATAGGTTGGGCCGAGTTATTCAGCTTTATCCCTGTTTGCGAGTTCAAGGAGTTTGGTTCCTCGAGCAATTGCCTTCCAGATGGTATTTATCTGGGAGTTCCAGTTCTTCTGAGCTAGGACTGGGTTGTTTCTTTCTTTGGTGTTTCTACCAAAGCATTGGTGACTTTCTCATTCACCGTGTTTATGGCCTTCCCAAGGAAAGAGCCAGAGAAGAAAGAGAAAATAAACAAGGCAAAAAAAGAGGGCCTGGAGCACTTCCAGACACAATGGAGTCTCCTCAGTCTGAGGAGTTAAACTATAGCATATTACTATAGGTCGATGGTTGGGTAGACCTTCAAAAACCTCTCGGTATGAGAGGAAGGCTGCCAATAGTTGGCAGCAAGATTGCACGGACTGGGTTGTCTGCACAAGTGGGAGTTAGGATCTCTACTTGATCTTATCTGCCAATTCTTGGTCCTCCTTCAGGTACGAGGAGGGCTGATTGGCCTTGTTGGCCATGTGTGCATGATGCAGCCCAGTATTTCTACTGGGGAGGGGGCGGATTGTGGCCGCTAGCCAGCCGAGTATAAACTCCACCCAGAGCTTGTCTTCTTCTGGAGACTCCGGGGTGGTTTCTTCCAAAGGGTCCTCCTTCAGTGGGTCTCCCTCCGAGGTTTTTTTTTTCGGGGGTGTTGTCTTCTGAGGGACTTTCCTCAAGGGAATCCCTCTTTGGTGTTGTCACCAAAGAGTTGGTAGTTCTTTTTTTGGTCTGGCTTATCACCAGTTTCAGTGTATTTTTTTCGTCATTGTTTTCAATGACATCGGATCTTGGGGCCATTATTGTGGTCCCAACACTGATGTCCTCACCCTTTCTTCTGGGCAAGTAGTGAGGTCCCTTGTTTGGGTCCTCTGGTTTGAAGTCATTGGAGGTGTCCTCCACTTCGAAATCACCAGAGATATTCTCCGGTTCTTCTTTGTCGGAGTCATCTCCAACTTCACCTTCTGTTTTGTAGTCGACTTCCCTGGCGATCCTGTGCCTTGGGTTTCTGTCTCCTACTAACTGGTGCTCAGGGCAGCTCTTTGTCCGCTCTGGTATTCCACAATTATTGCATACTTGTACCGGCCTTTGGTCGGTGTTCCCTGACTGCTTCAGGGAGGATTCACCTTCCATTTGGGTTTAGGGTCTTGCACATTGGCTCTTGGCTCTGCATGTTTCTCCTTTCCCGTCTGGTTGGTGTCAGGGCACGCCCGCCTGACCCGGCCCCACCTAACCCGGTGCCCCACCATCCACTCCTCTTGACCTCCCCCCTCTTCCCCTTTTCTCCCTTCCCTTCCTTCCTCTCCTTCTTTTCTATTCTCTCTCCTCTTTATTCCTTTCTTATCACACGGACGACTTCCTTTGTATCAATGTACCATTGACCCGGCTGCAGCGTAACGCACCCGAACCCGGACACACCGGACGACCCCCCGCACACTGGACGCTCCTAGGACCTCTTACGGAGGTACCCAGACGGAGGTGGCTGTGTGCTCGGATGACGTGGCGCTTCCCACGTGCCCTTCAACCACATGTATATAAACACAGCCTAAGTGGGAACTGAGAAGCAACCTTCTTCTCACATTTCCCACTTTAGGCAAGTAGCTTACACTTCCCTTGATAATGACAATAACACATTTCCCACTTTAGTCTTAGTGGCCAGGGACCCTTGTCTGCTTCGGGCCCGCTGCTGCGCGCGCCCGCGTCATACCTACCGGACCCTCAGCCTCGGGCGATACACCCGGGCGCTCTCGACCCCGGGTCGGTCCCTGACAGTTGGGCATTTCGCGATTTGTGGTCGCGGTGGTTTCAGGTCTGGCATAGCATTCCGGCCTGTAGGCTGGAGCTATCCTCAGCCTGTTTTTCATCTCATCCATGCAAGATGTTGTTCTGAACATCTCCTCGAAAGAGGAGAATCCCATTTTGATTATTTCCTCCTTGCATTCAGGGAGGATGTTTTCCAGAAACCTAGCATTAAGCGATGGTTCTGGGTAGGACTGTCTGGGTCCTTTTCCTGCATTGTACTTTACATTGCAGTATTTTTCCGTCACCTTCAATGTGGTGGGCTCCTTGATATATGTCCTCATTAGAGTATCGAGAACTTCAAGAAATTTCCCCCCTTTATCTCTAAGGAGGGCTTCTTCACGGAGTTTTAGTCCGTGTGAGAGTGCAGGCTCTGCCAATCCACCAATGAGACAATCCAGATGGATTTCATTGTAGTGTGCACCTCTATATCCTTGTGATGTGAGGAATCCTAGCAGTGTGGTGTACCACTGCTAGAAAATTTCTGTATCATTTTCGCCTGACCACTTCGTGTCAGGGAGTTGAGTAGGACCATTATTCAACCAGTCCCACTTCACCCTGTCTATGTGCGGGGTGAAAGTTAGAAGTTCGGCCATCCATGTGTCAGGGCACACCTGCCTGACCCGGGTCCACCCGGACCCACCTGGCCACACCACACCCGCTCCCCGCTGTCCATCCCTCTCCCTCCTCCTTCTCCTTTCTTTATTTCATTCTTCTCATCTTCCTCTTCCTGTTTATTTCCTTCTATCTACACGGACCATCTTCCTTTGTATCGATGTACTATTGACCCATCCGGCCCACACACCCTGGATGGCTTCCCGCTGTGCCCAGCATGTGCGCATGCAGCGGATGCTCTCGGGATCCCCCATGGGGACACCTGGATGCCTGCGGCTGTCTCTGAGGATGACGTGGCACTTGTCATGTGACTCAAGCCGCATGTACATAAATGTACCTGAAGTGGGAACCAAAGAAGTAACCTTCTTCTCACACTTCAGGTAAGTAGTATAGTTTTCCCCTTTAATAATAATAACACATTCTCCAGTTCAGTCTGAGTGGCCAGGGACTGTTGTCCCGGATTGGGCCCACCAGTACGCACACCCGCTCCACACCCTGCGACGGCCTCAGTGCCGGGCATTACCCCCGAGCCCTCTCTACCCCAGACGCATCCCTGACACCATGTGGCCTTGTGGTACCATCTTTCAAGGTGCCAGTTGTCCTCTAGCAATGTTTTGCTGGAAGTTTTCCTTGTGAAGTTTTCACGAGGGTTTGTTTGGTTCTCTCCAGCATTACTGGAGGGGTTTTGCGGAAGGTTACTTCCACTTATCCTTTGCCTGAGTAAAGTGACCGAGGAGGGCCATTTATCGCCTAAGATGGGGCCTGGTGTTGATGGTTGCCCGCTCATTTGTGGGTTCTCCTTACTAGGCTCCTTCTTCTGCCGCGTTGCACTCCTACAGACTTCGGTGACCTCATCCGAAGTTGGTGACTTCGCTTTTTTTGGCAAAAGTTTTGGGTTCGGCCTTGGCAGCAGTGGCTTCCCCTGAGCCTCTGAGCATCTGCCCTTGACCTTTTCTCCTATTGTTTCTTGGGCCTTTAGCCTGAGAAGGAGTTCTTCATCACTTCCTGTCCTCCATTTGGATGGGACCTGGAAAAAGTCCAGAAGTTTCTCGGACAATCGACTTTGGGGAGCTTCCTCATCCTCATGTCCGCGCTGGGTCCGAGGCCATCTGAGGACAGTCTGGAAGTGAGCTCAACCTGTGAGTCTGTGTTGATCTGGATGACATGGCCTTTATATCCATGTTGGAGTGTGTACACTTGTTTTCAGACAGAGTGCTGAGTGTCTCTCAGTGGTTGTGAGATGGTGTTGGTGGTGTGGAAGTTTTTTCCACATTTCCTCCACTCAGGACTGGCTCCCTGCACAAGCAGGGGTCGTCCCATGAGGGTTTTTGATGATTCCCAGTCTTATAGACTGGGGTTTGAACCGGCTCATGCCTAGGCGGCGAGCTGGATGTCTCACTATGGCTGCAAGACGGTAACGACGATGTGGAGGTTTTTTCCACATTTTTTGCAATCAAAGACGGCTCCCTGTGCAAGCAGGAGGTGTTGTTCGATTGTTTTGCACAATTCCCAGTCACATAGACTGGGGAGTGAACCAGCATGCTGCGATTTTGCTGGCTGGACGTCTCACAGTTAATGCGAGACGATGTAGACAATGTGGAAGTTTTTCCACATTTTTTGCAATCACAAATGGCTCCCTGTGCTGGCAGGAGTTGTCGTTTGATCGATTTGCACAACTACCAGTCGCATAGACTGGGGAGTGAACCGGTTTGCTGCTATATTGCAAGCTGGATGTCTCATGGCTGACGTGAGACGATTCTGTAGATGTGGACGATTTTTCCACATTTTTTGGAACTCCAAACAGCTCCCTGTGCCAGCAGGAATGGTCATTTGGTTGTTTATGACAACTCCCAGTTGCATAGACTGGGGAGTGAACCAGATTGCTGCTATATTGCAATCTGGACGTCTCATGTTTACAGCAAGGTGCAAAAAAATCGACGCGCCCAATTTGGATGAATGTCCATGCAGGTCATGTGATAGTCATGTGATTATTCACAAATGGCAAAAAATAAATGATGATCGACTTGCAGTTTCCTAAATAGGATTGATCACATGACCTGATCGACCATTCATCCAAATATGTTGCACCGTTTGTTTTGCACCTTGCTGTAATGCAAGACGATGCTGGACATGTAAAAGATTTTTCCACATTTTTTGGGATCAAAAACGGCTCCCTGTGCCAGTGGGAGTGATCGTTTGATGGTTTTGTGTAACTCCCAGTCAAATAGACTTGGGAGTGAACTGGCTTGCTGCAATATTGCAAGCTGGATGTCATGTGGGTGACACGAGATGATGTGGACAATTTTTCCACATTGCTTGGGGCCACAAACGGCCCCCTGTGCCAGCAGGAGTTACTGCTGTTTTTGTCAGTGTCTTGCACCAAGTGAGAGGTTCCCTGAGGATAGTGGGGCTCAGGGACTTCTTTTGGCGTGTCTGACCCAGCCCTTAAGGCTGTTAGTGTGGCAGCCGCACGCTTACGTGTGCGCATGTTTGCCTCCTCACCCAGTGGTGAGAACTCTCTCTTTCTAGGAGAGATCATGTTGGCACATGGGGTTCTAAGGGTATTGTTCCCCGCATTTACCCCATGTAAGTTTTTGGGATCCTCAGGGTTTGTCCCTGAGGTCCTACCAATATGTGGCAGGTCTTCATCATCATCCAATGATGCAGTGTTTAGGTTATCTCCCAAATTGGGAGATTGCAGCTTTTTAACAAAGCCACCCTTTGTTCTCGCTGCGGATGTGAGCTTCCCCGTTTGGGGGTATGACAGTGCCATGTCAGGTGCTGTCCCCGGAACAGATGTAAGAAGGATGTGTAGATTAGTTTTAATCACACCTCATGCACTTAAAAAAGTGGGAGGTCTGTGGGGCTCGCTCAGGTCACCAGGCCATAAGTGTCACAAAGGTGTGGGTATTATGGGGTGATAAGCGATAGGTTCCAACCCGTCGCCTGTCACGTGACACTAATCTACAACGGGACTACATGTAATGGGGGCCCAGGGCTTGTGCCCTGACAGGGAGTCTGATAACTTTAGTTGATTTTCTAACTGAGGTTTCCAGTATCTACAAGTATAGTATATATATGTACAATGGGAGTCCAGAGTTTGTGCCCCTCCTGTTTGTTGGAGGAAGGGATCAAGTGATCTCCCAAACCATCAGGGAAGGGGTACCCCCCCTGGCATAATGGGCGAGTAGTGTATGGATGCACGCTAGAAGTCCTGGGTTTGATACCAGGCTTGTCCATTTTATGTCATTTGTCCAGTCACGCTGGTTTACGTCATAAGAATTTGGAGCTCTGGATAAGTCCAGTAGTTGCACCGGATACAAATTTCCTCACTGTTCTGAAGTTAAGGACCCAACAATAGCGTAATCAAATGTTGGCACAGCGCTCCTGTCAAGTACACAGCAAGGAGGGGCAGTGTTCCTGGACCTTTCCCTGGAAGGAGGTTGGAGGTAGAGAATGGGTGGGAGGACTGTGGCCTCAGCGACTTGGAGAGGAGTGCTGTGCCTACATTTGGTAATGCTTAACTTAACTTCAGAACAGGGGGCACGAACTCTGGGGGATTGTCAGGGCACACCTGCCTGACCTGGTTCCACCTGGGCCCACCTGGGCCCACCTCACCTGCTCCCCGCTACCCATCCTTCATCCCTCCTCCTTCCTCCCTCTTCCCCTCCTTCTCTTTCCTCCCTTTTCCCTCTTTCCTCTTTCTCCTTTATTTCATTCTCCCTTTCTGTTTATTCTTTCTATTTACACAGACCACCTTCCCTTGTATCATTGTACTGTTGACCCATCCAGCTCAGACACCCCAGACGACTTCCCACTACGCCTAGCACGCATGCCTGCAGCGGATGCCCTTGGGATCCCCCATGGGGACACCTGGATGGCCGCGGCTCTCTCCGTGGATGACATGGCACCTGTCATGTGACCCAAGCTGCATGTACATAAATGTACCTGAAGTGGGAACTGAAGAAGTAACCTTCTTCTCATGTTTTCCACTTCAGGTAAGTAGTGTAGTTCTTCCTTTTAATAACAATTCACATTTTCCACTTCAGTCTAAGTGGCCAGGGACTACAGTCCCAGATCAGGCCCATCAGCACACACACCCGCTTCGCTCCCTGAGAGGGTCCCTCTGCCGGGCACTACATCCGGGCCCCCTCCACCCTGGATGCGTCCCTGACAGGGATAGTCTTGTCGATTTTGCACTAAGGTGCCATCAACTACAGTACAGGACTTATATACATAATAGAAGACAAATGAGAACAAAGGGGAAAACCCAAGGGGGACTTACCCACTTGCCAGGTTGGCAAGCTCATGAGAGAATTGCCTTATCTGTTAGAGATGAAGGCGCGGATTCAGATGACTCCGGAGTGGAATCGGAGACTTAGCGTGGAAGGACCTTGGCCTCAGCGACTCAAGCGGAGCGCTGTGCCATTGCTGTTTGTCCATTTGGTCCTTAATTTCACAGTAGGCGAGCAGGAAGTCTCTAGGGGGCATTTCAGGTCGATTTCGGACTGAGCCCAAAACGAGTATGTACAAGCACCGATATATATAATGGAGGGGGCAAAAGCACAAGGAAACAAAGGGGATCTGAATCGGAACGAAGACGTCCAAACGGCAACAAAGGGAAGACAGAAGCAGAGCAGTACCGAAGGTCATAAGGCAGAACCTGTGATACGTCCGAAAGGAGGTAGGGAGGGCGAGGCCCAGAGGGGCAGGAGGATGAGGAGAAGTGGGGATGATGACTAACTGGCTAGAATGGGAAGAAGCAGCAGTCCAAATAGGGATGAGGGGAAAACGCGAGAGATACATTACAAGCAGTGAAAGTGCCGAAGATGATGCACGAAGCTTGGAGGTTGCGGAGCTTACAGAGGCGGGGTTGAAAGTCCGAGGAATATTGGCAATGGTGTTTACATAGTATGAGGTCACCAATGCAATGGACTAAGACCGAGGTGGAGTCAAAGTCCGAGGTAGGGACTATGATGGAGGCTCGGAGCAAGGTACGAGCGGTGCCCGAGTACGAAGTACGGGACAGCGGTGGAAGGTCATAAATTAGCAGGAGGTTGGCAGAAGAGTACCAGAGGGAAGAGAGAGGAGAAAGGGAAGAGGGAAGGAGTGGCAGAAAGGAGAGTTGTCAGTGTCAGAGACCAGGTTGAGACGAAGGAGTGTCTCCGTAGCGGAGGGCTTCGGCCTCAGCGACTTGTGCCAGGAGCGCTGTGCCAAGTAACATGTCTGTGCCCTAACTTACTAACTGGCAACCAGAACTGAAGGGGGTAAACTCTAGTCGATTTTATTACTGAAGTGTAACCTATGTACAAGTTGGATATATATATAGTTACAGTGAAGACGGGTCTGCAAATGGCGGAGCCGAGCAGAGCGGAGCTAACGGGGTTAGACATTAGCTGACTGAATGTTACCGACGAGTAGGGTTATGGGGTTAACGGAAAGGCAGGCGATAACCCAGAAACGGAAAGGAGGGATAGGCCTGAAGGTGGGCTCTGCAGGGCAGGCGAGTGTATTGCCCAGTGGAGGCAGGAGTGTGCTAGCGGACATCGGAGCTGTCCGGAAGTCTTCAGGGCTCCATACTTAGGGAGGCGTAGGTAATAAATTGAAAGGAGGGGGTGGTGACCATCGAGGGGTACCGAGGGGATCGCGGAATATGGGAGCTCTGAGGTTGGTGAAGAAGGAGCGGAGGTAGACCAGAGGGATCGGAGGGATCGGAAGTCGTTGGCCAGGGATGGATATGACAGTCTGCGCACGTAGCCAAGGATGGAAGTACCACAGAACAAGGGTTTCTCAGGAACTGATGCAAAATTCAAGGTCGTGTTTATAATAGGAAATGTAGATGTCCCCCAAACGAACCCAATGAAAGTAATTACAGAAAAAACTACCCATAAACGACGGAGATATGACTAAAACTCCTGCAAAACAAGGACAATGTTTAAAAAGCAAGCACGAAGGCTAACCAGTAACGACCGAGACGAGCTTGATAGCCCATTAGAAAGGAAGGGATCTAATCTTAATCCACCCAAATCTTCATAATAAAAAGATCACGCATTAATGAGATATCCAATAACGGGAATAGCGACATCAAAAGTCCAAGCTCAGGGAAAAGACGATGTTTACGAAGGATCCATAATTAAAACATACAACGAAATTTACACGGAAATTATAAAAGATAGGGAACTATAGTTATGCAAATTTTCAGCCCAAACAGTCCAGCCGTTGTGAAGTTATACCCATGACGGGGATATAGAAATCCGCATCATGTTTAATGACACATGAGGGTGGCAATGCGAAGGGAACCAGCCATCGGAACCGAGATCCGCACTTTGGCAGATCGCGAAGACCAATTTCTGTCCAAATAAGGAAGAGCCCGGTCAAAACAAAGCATGGAAAGTGCAAAACAACCTTAGATCATGAGGGAAAAATCTGAAATAAATCACAGAAGCCCATATGAAGGATACAAACACCTGCACATACCATAAATCCCGAACAATTAAACAGAAATGGCGCCCGCATACAACCAACTATGGGAACGACACACGTGATTACCAAATCTGCGCGTGAACTTTTTCTAACTCGACAAATACCAGGAAATAGAACACAACTTTAGTACCATTGGAAAGGTGGGAATAAATGAAAATTTATGATACCAAGAACGTGAAAAACTATCCAGAAATGAATGAGATACAAGGACATGAAGTTAGAAACCTGATAACGCATGGGAAGACAGCTTCAAGAGGTCCAGAGCCCTAAATAAAATACATAAAAATATGATATCTTCGAGGACGACCTACTATAACAACGAACAATACATATGGAGGATTGGGATGCGATAATACAAAGGGGAATCAGGAAAGATGAACGAAATCCATGAAAACCACTAAACTATGATGGACCATGGTGGGAATTTTAGGGAACGATATTCTAATAAAGTGGAGAGCTATAATACATTCGTTTGAGTAATTCTTGACTACTAGCAACTTTTTCTTTCGGTTTTAAACCTGAATAATTCACTCATTTACCATTCCAAGTCTCATTTTAACTAAATGTCGCTGAATAAAAATGGAATAAATCAGCTGAAGGTCTCAGTGCAGCCGTACGCATAGTAATGCGAAGTTTGAATTCAGAATCACCGAGTCATAGCAAATTTAATGGTATATATGAGGAATTTGAAATAGGAAACTGCGACAAATGCAGCACAGTCAAGTTCTAATTAACCATTAAAATAGCTTTGGCAAGGAAGGACAATAAGGATTCTAGGCACAGTCTGACCGCAGTAGAGCCACAGTTCAGTGCAGCAAACCGCAGTATAGCGTGAAATTTTCATTTTTTATTCAGTTTGAGAAAAATACACTGTAAATAAATCCTGTAAATAGAAGGTAGAGCATGAAAAAGGAAGGCGACCCAAGGAGTATAAAAGGGAGACCCTTTCTGCGACTTTTTGCCCCCCCCTGGAGAAGTAAGAAAATAGAGTATTATTTTTCTCGAGCATTTCTGGTTCTCACTCCAGCGCAAAAAAGTGATATACAGTTAAGATTGCCACTGTAGTAAAAGGCAGCAATTAAGGAGAGAAATATTAAGTAGATATTTCAACAGGAGAGCTGGTTAACACTCCAGATTTCAAAGTGTAAACACAAAACAGTTATTTTGCTACTGTTAAAACAAGCAATAAAATAAGACAAAAATAAAACAAACTCAAGGAACACTCCAAACACAATCTAAATCCATTAACTGAGCAGAATCTTTGAAACTTCACCAAGTAGAAGATTTAAT